TTTGAATGCTGTTAGAAAGGAAGCATCTTAGAAACAAGGAGAGTCACGTGATTCCCCTCCACACACACATTTTGCAGTCACATCAGAAAAATCAAAGAATAACTTCCACTAAGTGTCTTCTGTTTTTCTGCCTTTTGCGCTGGCTAAGAGCAGAAAAGGAAGTAAAGTGTTAAAACAAAGGAAGAAATTTATTAATGAGCAGTGGCAAAGAGATGGACTCAGGTAGAAAATCAGGCAAAGATTCAGATTGCTTGGAGTCTGATTCATCTGCTGATGTAAATGTAACATTTCATTAGTCAATGAAGTCAATCCAGACTCCCCCCACCAGCTGGCTGCAATTTGTTTATACCATTAGTATGTATCAAAAATCTGTTTAAAAAAAAAAGAAATTTAGAAATTATCTGTGTCTCAGGAAATTTCCAGGCTCAGAAGAGAGCTCTTTAACATTGACCTGTAATCTTTCTTGTCAAGTGGTAAGAAATTGCTGACTTTTAGAAAATCATTAATTCTTTGATTAACTCAGTCAAAACTTCCAGCATGATCCTATTCAGTAGTTTGTTTCTCCCCTGGAAATGGCTCTCAAGATGATATTCTTCTGAGTCATTAAGTCGGAGCTTTTTCAGCCACACTCTAATCATTTTCCATGAGAAGTCATTCATCATTTCAGTCCTTCCTACTTTAACAATACTTTGATCAGAGTTACCTCTGATAATAGGTTGACATCTAATTCAGGGCACCATTTTGCACCAAATGTTGAAGTTTCCTGATGTGCCTATCCCAGAATAGGAGCAGTGGAGGAAAAAGGAGTTCCTTTTTTTTTGCAAATAGCCTGACAAGTTCTAAAGACAAAGGAGTGGTGATTCATTAGAGGGAGAAAAGGCAGGCAAAAACAATCCCCACAGTGGTGTACATCTCACCTGACAAAGGAGCAGAGCTAACATCAGCAGAAAGAGAACATGTGGCCGTAAATGGAAATAAGCGGTCACAGTCTGAGGAGGGTGGTCACTGGAGGTGAGGTTGGGGTGGCAAATGGGAAATTTGGATTACTGCTGCCCTTCCTGAACATGGGCTGTCTCAGGTTCCAGGGCTGTTATTGCTGTTAGATTGCCCAGGTGCTGGGACATGGGGCCACCTCAGCATATTTCTTATGCCTCATATGTGAGTTCAAGTTTAAGATAGTGTTACTCCATTTTACAAATCTTCTACATGAGTTATCAAAGCTTTTCTGTATGAAAGGTTTCTGTGACTGTAAAGCACTTTTAACAGAATGGAAAATTTTCTGCAAAAAGAAGTATTATTTTTTAGTTTTCATCAACTTATTTGAAATATTTCTGTCTTAAGCCCAAACCCCCCCAAATTTGGTTTCGACTAATCAAGTCCTACGAAATTGTGTTAGAGGTTTTTGATGGTAATCTGTAAAGCATTGACTTTTTTTCCCCCCCTTGAAACTTTTTTATTTCATATGGCAAAAATAATTTCCTAACCACTTCTACCTCTAGCTACATGTAGATACATACTGTGGTTCTATGTAGAACTATATAATAGAGTTTTACCCAGTCCTTGATAACCTCTAGTGAACCTCCAGTGGGATCTGTACATCTACATACACCATGTTTTGCTGTGGAACAAAAATGGAAGTGACACATCATTCTTGATTTATTTTGGCTGTCTCCCACCTGGTGCACTGTCGACCTCATAGCTCACCCTCAGCTGAAACCACCATCTGTATTCTGTGCAGCAGAATATTCTTCAGATCACCCCACACTGATATGTGCCAGAATTCTCTCTTCAAAGTGTTGTCATGATCACAGAAAACCAGCCATGTCCGAAGTCTATCAGATCAAGTGAACGATGCAGTGCACAGTTAAGGTTAATCCTTTCTTTTAAAGGGGAACTGAAGGCTAAGACTGGACGAACTTTTCTGACAACTTTTTTTTAAATTGAAATTTTGAAATTTGAAAATTTCTTCTCATGTAAATTCTTGTGTGTGTCGTATGAGCAGTTAGCTCTGGAGGAGTCCTCCTCTCTATACAGAAACACTTGCATATCCTCTCCTGCCATGCACAATTCTTCCAAAGAAAGAAGATTGCTGCTACAACTACTCACAGCTTAGTATGCCTGTTTTTCTTACATTATACCACTGGGCCTCTGAAAAGAGTAATTTAGCTCTGCAGGTTTGCCTAAATAAACATAGAATCATAGAGTCATAGAATCATAGAATGGTTTAGGTTGGAAGGGACCTTAAAGATCATCTAGTTCATCTATGCATGTATACTTAGCCTTAGTGCCACTACCCTTTTTCCATTTTTATTCCTATTGTTCCTCTCTGTGGACTCAGTTATTAAAATTACTTATTTGCAGTAATAAAGCAAACAGCAGCTAGCCTGTCTGTGACAATCCCTGATCCATGACATATTGGGAGAGCGCAACAAACAGATTTTCCTCCCTGCATGCTAGGTGATTTCAGACTGAGAACTTCGCAATAGTGGGAGAGAAAGGTCTCAGAAGGGCAAAGATTGCCAAATGTCCCACCATGAAGTTCAGCTTCTGGACAAAATACAGAACTACTATAAACAAAAATGAGAACCCAAAAGCTTGTATAATTTTAATTATAAGCAAATTTCAGGCTGAGTGTTTCTTCTCTTCATTGACTTCTGGGAATTTCATTCTGTGCCTGTCTATAGATAGCCTGAATAAAAAGTGCTCAAGCAAATAACAGTGTGCAATGCATGCAACAGGACAGAGAGCATCCTGTTCCTCGGAGAAATGAAGAGTCTCGGAGCCTTACCTGGTAGTGCCAGCAGGAGCAGCAGGGCTGGGAAACCTCCCATGCTGAAGTAGGAAGTGGTTTAGGGCATAGAAGAAAAAAGTGTAACCCAGAGTTTCTTTATCACTGAGAAATTCTCTGTTGCAGGGCAAGCTAACTTGCTCTGTCATTTGCAGTCATCTGCTGCCTGGAGTGATGATGCCAGTTTGGAATTGCTGAGAAAATCTTTTAACCACAATCTTAATATTACTACTTGCGTGGGAACGCTGCATAATGTTTGCTGGCTGCTTTTTCGCTTTAATTATGTTGTTGTCTAGATAGATGTATGTAGCAATCAGGCTGTGTGACTGGAAAAGAAATAGGCATTTTCTATCTCTAGTGCTACCTCGGTATATTACAGAGCAGCTTTCAGTTGGATGTGTTCATCCTTACTGCTGCCTTGCACTTACAGGCAAGTTTTATATCCCTCGTTCCCAAAGCCCTTGTATAGTGATGGAGAACCATCGCTGTGCCATCACAGAGGCAGTGGATGGCCCTGCCTGAGGTCTCCACAGGTTGGAGCTGGAACTAGGGCCCAGATCTCCTGGCTAGAGCTGTGTTGTATGGCACATCTAGCTGAGCACCACAGTACCGTCTGGGAATACTGAAGCTAGGTTGTGTTAGTACAGCTGCAATGGTGTGTGACTGTGTATGGGCTAATTTACCCTCTGCAAATAGAGGAAATCAGTTTAGACAGAGCACAACCATGCAAAGCCTGATCTGGTTTGGGGATCTGAGCTACCATTTCTGCATGGTGCTAAATGGAGCTGGCTGGCTGTGCCAGTGTGCCCAGCTGGCTCAGAGCATTTCTGTTCATTATAAACACACCAGCATCTTCTAAGTGTCACCTCTTCTCTGGATGATGTATTGTGATCTGGTGTACTGCAGCTCTTCATCATGAATCCACACTAAGTCAGGTAATCAGTTTGATTTTATTTTGCTTTGCAGGCAGTGCAGGGAAAAGAAGTGTGAATGCCCTTGGATTTGGGGTCTTCCTGGGAGAGCTAAATGCGGCTTCACTTTGGGGAGTGATGAACAATGATCACATGTTGGCAACATCCCCTTGAGAGGTCAGAAAAAATACAGGGAGACAGTTCATTCTTTGTTTGCAAAACCATTTGAGAAATGAGGAAGCGGGTTCAGAGCTGCATGTAGACTTCACATTCCTTTCTGTTATGTGCTGCAGTTCCTTATGCCTTTTCATAGTGACTGTTCACCAAGGATCCACACTGTCCAAGGCAATTTTTGGGAGCTGGTTTTCATCACCACGGAAAGACAGAATCTCTCACCTGGTACTGCTCTGAGATGACATGAAGTTGATGGGTCTCAGTTCAGACCTGGTGGAATGACACTGGGGATGTGTATTGGGAATAACTCTGCCTGGTGGTGTGGTGCAGCTGCTGGCAATGACTGCAGATGATAGCAGAGCATTGCATTGCCAAAAGGATGTCAAAACTTCAGTCTTCCAGAGAGTGGAATCTCATTTAAAAAGCTGATATCTAGACAAATAATATTAGCTTTCAATACAAACCATCTAGTCCTGGTTTTATTTCATGCTTATGGGGGAAGCATTTGAGCATTTTGTAGAGACATGTAGGACACCTTGAAAAAAGTTCTTTGACACTGATCTTCAATGAATCGGGAGAAGTTTCTTGGAGATTTGAGACAGAACCATGTCTTTCCATTTTGTGGATGTGTTTGAGTTGCTCAACACATGGTCGTTGAGATGTGTTACCGAAACTTCTATTTATGTTCACTGGTATATCTGTAGTTTTACTGATAGAGCAGCTGTATAGAGCAGCAGAGTGTTTTCTGGCCTAGCAGTGAGCTGGGGGGAAACTGAGCAGAGCTCTCTCACCTTTACCATGCCTGGGAAGGATCCCTGCACACAAACAAGTCTGTCCTAGATGTCTTGACAGAAAAACTTCATATTCCTCCTTTCCCCCTGGCCCTCGATCCCATCCTCTTCCATTGGGTTCAGGTGTTACTGGCAGCATCTTTTCAGTTCAGTTGTGTTAGAAAAAGTTGTTTAGCACCAATGAGAAGAGGTGGTAGATGGTGACATTCCCCCTCTAGAGTGACAGGTTCATTAACACCTAAGTTTAGTAGGCAATCCTTTTCTTACAGCAGGTGGCAAAGTTTTGCCTGCAAATACTTGATGTTCATGTCACTGTGGATTCCCTTTGGTTTTGCTCTAAGCAGTGCTCTCCCAGGAGGGGCTGATTCCATCATGTGCAAGATCACCAGTGAAAGGGAGGACCTGATGATCATTTAAGTTTGGGTTCTTCTGCTCTGTTTCTCTGTTCTTCCTACTGTTGCCAATGATAAAGATCAGCACAGCCACCATGAACTTAGTAACCAGGAATCCAGCAATGATATAGAAGACAGTGAAATCAGCTTCAGGAGGGATGCTATGGGGAACCATAAATACAACAATAAAGCTTAGCTATGAAAGGGGATGGTTCAACCTTTAATAAAACACTTCTAGTACACAACGTGAAGATGGTAATATCTCCTGCAACACGCAGTCCCTGCCTGCGCACAACAGAGCCTGTGAGGTTGGAACAACTGTAATAGGTTTTAACTGCAAGATCTCATAGATGGATAAATTATGATCTGCAGGAGCTGTTTTGCTTGGTACTGAAGTGTTGCATTTTCTGGATTAGGGTACAGCTGCTGTTTAGAAAACACACAGCATCTCTGAGAATTGTCATGGATTAGGAAGAGGTAGAGAATATGTCTGTGGTGCTATTACTCTCAGCTTCAAATGGGGTTGCCAATGCTAGGTTTAGTTCTAGGAAGACTAGAGATCACAGTATGAGCAGTTTTATGGCTTACCTGGAGATGCTCTGCACAGCACTAGGCTCCTCTGGCATTTGAGTCTCCAGGACAGCTGATGATAGAAACAGAATAGTTTATTCTGCAGATGTTTCTGGATGATATTCATTGGTGTCACCAATGCCCATGGTCCAGCTAGACATAGATAACCAAGGTGAGACTGGGCACTGGGCTGTGTGCTAGAAGATTAATCTGGGTAGCAATAAGGGGATGACATGTGTTAGATGTCCTGTAACAGTGAGGTCATGGTGCTGTAAAACAGGAACTAAAAAGAGGCAACGAAACAGAGTACCTCCTTAGAGTAAGACAAAAGTAGATGTTTACTAAAGTGAGGCCTTGGCATCTGCAGACACGCATGAAATTTAAGTAGGAACTCCTGAAACTCCGAGCCCTGGGACATACCTGTCAGCACTTCCACTTGCACTTTCCTTAAGCTGTTTGTTTCCCCCAGGTAGTCAGTTTTACACTGGTACAATCCAGCATCCTGCTTCTTGAGTCGCTTCATGGTCACTGTCAGGACTCCTTCATGGACATTGTCACTGATGGAGGTGGTGCCATTCCTGTTCTTTAGGAACGGTAGCCAGAAGCGTCGGGCACTCACCACGTGTTGGCACTTGGTCTCATCAATCTGCTTGCACCAGCTCTTTTCTCTCCACCGCTGCTGCCAGGGGTTATAGGTGCAGTTGACAGAAATGGTGCCCCCCTCCATTCCATACACCACGGTGACATTCTCTGCAGCACAGGATGC